TTTCGGGAAAATTGATTTTCAAAAATTTTCTCACAGAAAAAAATGTTAATTTCAATTGATTAATTTTTCAAATAACAAGTATCAATAAGTGTGCAATTAAGTTGAGTAAACGTGCAAGTACACACACACACACATGTATGTTTTTAATAATTAACACATATGGCGCTGGTATCGTCTCATCAGGCATCATATTATTAATTACATGTGTATATACAATACATATATGTACATTGTACGAGGCTAAGTGGGGAAACGAAATCCTAAAATTTTCGAACCTCGAACGTTTGGTCAGCAAAGAATTATAAGAGAACGATTAGGTCATGGTACTGCTATCATTCGATAACATTCTGTCGCTTTATACGCCCCCTATATGTCTGACATGAGTGTACATCCGCTATACAAACCACCCCCACATGAACTTCGTGAAAATACTTCTAAAAATATATATCAGTCCAGCAGGAGACGTTAATCTTTGCCGAAGCTGAGATAATTTTTACTTTCGTTCTTTCACGCAGATTTCCATTGTGCTCTCTCTCTCTCTCTCTCTCTCTCTCTCTCTCGTTGATTTTCATAAAATAAACGCTGGAAAGACAATATTAATAACGCAACGAATTGTGAAATGAAAATGTCAATCCCTTGCTTTTAAATAACATTTGTTCATTTCTTTATGAAATATAATTCCATGATGATGAGTTATAATTTAAAGAATTGAATTTTATAAAAAAATAAGTGAAAATAATTTTTCACGGGTATTGCTCGTTAAAAAATAATTATTGTGAATTAATAATAAAATAATAAAAAATTATAACTGATTCCGTAGAAAGATCTAGAATTATACGATCTAAATACTATATTCGTATTATTTTTTAATATGTAGAAAAATAATTCAATGACATTGCAATGACTATTTTGATACATTAAACTTTTTATATTGATTATAATTTAAGTAAAAATTATTGTGCATTAATCTATGCATTTGAGTGCTTTTGTTCCGTGTGATTGATTTTTTTTTTATTGCGTATATATACATCTAGTTCTTCTAGTTCCTTTATGTTTATCACTTTCAGTTCAAAATAAAGGATAATTTATTCATAGGAAATTAAATGAATCCTTCAAGAAAACAAAATTAAGAAATACGTAATTAAAAGAACAAATATGCCTTCGTTAAATTAAAATAATCTATGCGTTATGGTTATAACAAAAAATTATAATTATCTATAACTGATTCCGTAGAAAGATCTAGAATTATACGATTTAAATACTATATTCGTATTATTTTTTAATATGTAGAAAAATAATTCAATGACATTGCAATGACTATTTTGATACATTAAACTTTTTATATTGATTATAATTTAAGTAAAAATAGAATATTAATTTTTGTTAAAAGGACGAAATAAATAATATCTGTTTTGCTCACTGAAGACTCCGAAAGTAAGAAGGATGTACACATGTCTCAGTGATCATGATACAAACGACAAAAATTGTTTAAGATCGTTTAGGATTCGACCAATCTTCACGTAAAGTTGCTATAATTATCAGGTCACGCTACATGTATATATGTATTTCGAATATATTACATACTATGATCATCAACGAATATTAAGTCATTCATAATTAATCTATTATTAGCGATTAGAAAACAAATCTGTATACGTATGTACATGTGCATTATTGCACAGTTCAATGTGAAAACTACATGTCATACTGTTTCGTAGTTTGAAAAAGAACATTTAATTCGCATACAACTTTCTTTACAATTTAATTTTATATATTGTGCATATTATTTATACGTACCATTGAAATTTAAAACAATAATAACAATGATACTACGCGACCAATCGCAGATGTTATTGTGAATAACCAAAAATGAACATGGCGTCCGCTCAACATTTGTTTTCACTTTGAACCTATTTTGTAATTCGTAAATACGTAATATCATTGTATACACATTTGTTTAGCGAATGCACAAAAAGAACGGATAGGTTCAATGAATATATCAAAGAAATATGCCGACCAATCGAATATTACATACAGTACATCCGTGTGTCGAGTAAAGATACTGATTTCAATATTCTCTCGCGCAAAACGTATGAATTTAATTATTTTAAGAAAAATAAAAGATATGATTTATTTTAGAGTACTCACCGTGCCTCAATTTAGTGAGAATAGAGAACTATTTGAAACTGGAAATGGGCAAACCCCCTGCTATGATTTGACACAAACGACAGCTGTTTGGAGTTTTCAGCAGCACCACCAGATTGCTCTTCCATTGCTTAGTGGCCAAAAGGCGGGAAAAATTATGAATTAGAAACAGCAACCTCCAATTGTCTCATTCTTACACATTCCTATACATATTATATCATAAAATTTAATTGTTTGTTCAAACAAAATGAAAAAAATTATTTTTTCAATTATTTTTTTAACATGGTTGCTGTAAAAGTTGTAATTGTAGATTCTAAAATATAATTCCATATAATCATTTACTATAATTATATATTTAAAATTTTTCAGTAAATTAAACCAATAAAACCAACTCAAATTGAACTAATATTGGTAATAATTTGAATGTGAAAATCATACCTTTCTTCACTTTAAACGAACAGATAAGAAATAATTTTGAAATGACAGGTCTTTTATTATCAACATTATTAGTACAGTGAAACAGCTAGTATAATACAATAAAATAGTGCCGTTTTATAATAGAGCGCTGTAAAGCTTTCTTTACACGTACTGTCGCGTTTAATATAATATCTTATTTTCTTTCTCTTTTAATTAGACTTGCTCCTTTTTCATAAGGATACATAAAGTTTAAGTTCTTTGTCAATTTCTGGGTAAAGAGTTGACATCAATTGGTTAAACTGGTTGTCTCCAATCAATCTGCGTAAAGTAAGTAACTAAAATAAAAAATACAGATTTTCAGCATGTAATAAATACATAATTGAACAAAGTGGTTTTTAGTATGTAATAAGTACATATTTGTAAGTAATAATAAATTATCACTTTACCTGATTTTGTAACGTATCTTTCAAAGATATACTGGACAAAGGATCATTGAAATCAAGTCTTCTTTTTCGCTGTTCATGTTTGTTTCCATACTCTTCATCCTCGTACTGGGATGGACTAGATTGTCCACTAATTGACAAAGATCTAAAATAAGTGAAAATGCTAACTTTTACAATAATATAATTTCTTACTGTAATTATATATATTGTACGAATAATTTTTACGCACTCAATGGCATACCCAATATGTTCGCATCTTATATCATCAAACTTGGTGATGTCATTGAGAGTCCCAACAATATTAGATATTATTAGTGGAAAATAATGAAGAACACTTGGAGGACTATCAGCTCCAAGAAGTGAACAAAGTGCAAGAGCTAATAATTTACGTCTTTTTAGTTGAGAAATATATGGCATTCGATTAACCCATATACGTATTATTTCTCCCAAAACAACCTCTTCTCTAGCTTCGTTTCCACCCATTTTTCTGGTTAACTCGCTTATTACCTAAATGATTATTTAAATAGATATTTATGTCAATTGTATTAATAAATTGATGAATACATGAATACAATACATGAAATTTCAATACCTGTATAAAAATATCTTTATAAAACCACAAAACTCTTGCCACAATAGATAAATACATAGTCATTGTCATCATAACTTCTTCCTCCTTATACATATTCCTGTCAAAATTTAAATAAATATTAATGTATATAATTTGCTAAAACTTTTGGAAGCATTCATACTCACTCAAATATAGTTATTAAAACAGGTTTAATAAGTTCTGCACCTTGCCGAGGTGACGCACATAAACATAGTTCAAACACTGTCATTGTCATTACTGCTCCTTCAGAGTTCAAATCTCCCAAAAGTGACCTAAGTGTTTCAATTATAATTGCCCCTCTTTGACTTAAAAATTCTTGAGGACTTAATATTACATATGCTTGAACTATATACAAACATAATTTTAAATGTTCGAATGATTTTTCTAAAAAATATAAAGATCGTCTTAATAGATTTTCTTAATATTTATAACAATCATTAACAAATAGTTTATTAATTTACTAACCTAATACATCCGGCAAATTTTTAGCCAATTCCATTATAGCAGGGGTTGGCGCAGGTGCATTCTCCAATAAAGCTAACCATAATCGCAAACCATCTTCTAACAAATAAACGTGATAATTTTGATTAACATCACAACTTAATGCAATAACACCTACTACTAATGGTTCTATAACGACACTTTCAGGACCTAAAGCCTAAAAAATAATCAAAATATTATCTGTTATTTAAAATCTTAAATAGCAATTAATTAAAGTTATATATTTATTCAATTATTTAATTTATACCTTTTCCAGATGTACAAGTGTCGAAATTATAGCGCATCTTAACATATCATGTTCCTCAGACTCTTGCCAAAGTGCTGGTAGATACGAACTAAGAGCTCCAACGTGCGGGTTTATTTCACTGCCAGTACGTTCAATCATAAATGATAATACATACAACACGTACATCTAAAAATAATTTAAAATATGTTTTTCTGAATTAAAAATGTATTTTTAAAATAACATATAATTTTATACCTTCGTATCACATTCTTTTACTTCTTTTAAAAGAGAAAATAGTAAAGAGAATGCTGGTTCTAAATATGGTGAAAATTCTTCCGGATTAAATTGAAAATCATCTATCGCGAGTTTTAAAGCATCGCTTGCTGCCAATCGAACACCTAAATCTTCTTCAGGGCTCAAAACTTCAACCATGAGTTTATATAATTCTGGTCTCAGCTCTGTACTTAATTTAACAGCTGCAATTTAAGTTAAGCATAACAAAAATAAAATTTATTATTACATAATAAATAGTATGTTCGTTTAAAAAAATTAAATACGCTTACACGTCCAGCGTCCAATAAGCCAACACACTCGTCTTCTAATAATTCTATAATTATTACTTCGTATTTTCAGTTCTTCTTTTAAAGTGGTCGAAAACCATTGATCGAAGTTCACCTAATATAAATAAAGGTGTAATATGCATGTAAAGTGATTTCTTTGCGATATTTTGTTTTTACCTCGTCATACAAATCAAACGCAGCTAAACCAACTGCATTATATACTGCATCTTTTATTAAGATCGCATGCAAATTATTTGGATCAATTGGTTGATGATGTCTTTGCATTAATTCAACTAAAACTGGTACAAGAACTTCTACAAAATGATGGAGAATTACTGCAAACAGACACTCCGTACAAGGCTAAAAATAAAACATTAATTATTAAAAATAATAAAGATATACAATTTTACAATTATGAATTATTTATGAATATATATGAATTATTTATAAATAGCTGAACATAAAGTATTTACCCTTAAACTGTATTTCCATGATTCACCACCACCACCATCAACAACTGGAAATAATAATAAAAATAAAAAATATGAATGTATATATATAAATATATATGTACACAAATATTTACCAAAACTTTCTGGATCTGTATCCCACAATTCCAATTCAGCAGGTGTTAAAAGAAAATAATGCGTTACAAGTCTTGAACATATTTCAGTTAATGTTTCAGGTGTAAAAAATTCTTGTCTCAATTGATTTGCTCTCAACGTTAACGGGTCTTTCGTATCTGCATTAATAAATTTCCAGGTTTAATCAGTTACATCCAGAAAGTGTATAAAATGATTATCCAGTACGCATACCTTCGAGAACTTTAGCTGGTTTATAATATGTAGATGATAAAATGCCTTTCATTAAATTTAAACATTGTATAACAAATTTTTCAAAAGCTAAAGCTTGGCCACTTTCGGTAAAACAGTAAAAAACAGAAAATTCTAAGGACGTTGGTATTAGTTCTACATAGCAAAACGGATGCATTTCTAATACTCCTAATAATACTTTAGTCAAATGAATTATAAATTTATCGCATACATCCATCTGTATGCCTCTTGAAATTAATGTCTTTCCTACAATTGAAAAAAGTGATCATTATTAAAATCATTGTTAACAGAGATAATCAATATTACGATTAATAGCAAAGAAGAAGAATACTAACGACATTCAAGGCAGGTTCTTGCACGTTCGAAAACAATTTCTAAAAATGACATAGCATCATGAGATTCTGAAAGCTTATTAAATCCATTTACAATAAGTGTCCTAAGTATTCTCAATAAAAGTAACGCTTTCTCCAAAGCTTCCTGTATCTGATTTGTATCTGCTCCGTTTGACGCCATTATAAGAAAAGATTCAGTGTATGTATTCCAAACATTCAGAATAAAACTGAACACACTAATGGTTAATTCTTGGAAGAGTCGTCTATCTGCAGCTAAACGTTTAGAGGCTAAACATTTAACAACATGATGCAATATTAACAGTGCCCGATGCTGGGCCAAAGGATTTTGTCCTCTTATAACATCCAATAACGTTGGAATTAATGAACGCCATTCTCTAGGACAATCATATCTGCACAAAATTATTTCATTTAACCTACTTCACAGATCAAAAGAGGAAAATAAATGCAAATTATTTAACAAATATCCTCTACCTTGCAATTTTAGCAATAAGAGCTGCCAATTGAACAGCTAATTGATTTACAGGTTCTTCAAAGTTTGTTATCAAACGTTGTCTAAGGAATTCCTTTTCATCATCTGCAATTGCACTGTAGTAATATGCATATTATTTTATTGTTAATTTACATCAAAATATTGATACAACTGTTAAAATTACACTGAAGAATACTTACTTTGGAGCATTTTTTCTCCAATATTTATCAATACCATTTTTAAAACACACAATAGCCATCCATCTAACATTGATAGTCAAGGAATGATTAGAAAATACATTCTGAAATAATTGTTAATATATTAATTGCCACATAATTATTGAACTTCTTAGTTATAAAAATAATCTAACAAAATAATCTTACATTTATAGGTAAATGTAACAAAATGACTACGAATAGACATGTGTTAACTTAATAATTTAATTAAATCTCTTTTTTTTACATATTTATATATGCGACTTACATATAATGCAGTATAGAATCCCCTTTCAGTTTCCCATTGTTTTAAAGTCTGTTCAGCTGGTTTTAAAATAGTGGGATCTTGACTACTCGCTTGTTGAAGGACTTCGACCACTGCAGCATCCATATCTTCCTACAAAATTATTAAACTTAATGTTCTACATTAAATTCAAATCCGTTATTATTTGTTTCCCTCTGGAAAAATGGACTGAACTTAACGAACATGTGCTAACGATATCTCCCTTTCCCGAACATTTAATTTTCTCGGAAGAATTTACGAGTATCCCTGATATTTTGCTATATGAAGAAATAGACGATTGTATGCAATGATATACCTTCGGTTGTTATATTATTTTCGTGAAACAAGTGATCATTTCCCTTATTCCGGGTGAGCTAACCTAACAAGAAAATATTAATCGTACACATTCAGAAATTACCTATCTTATATGAGGATTGTAGAACTATTTTTGGTAAACTCCATTTATCGGAAATATCTATGTATTAAATCGATACATGACGAAAATCATCGAAGACACTCTACATCAAAATGTCACACACGCCCGTAAGTCGGCATTTCAGAATGCTGCCCCCTCCTGCTCTTTTCTTTTTCTATAAAATACACTGGTGACAGTTATTGTCACAGCATAAACCACTTTCTTACATCTAAAACGCGATTCTGCTCTCAATTTGCTAACCAGTATTTATTATTTAAAATCAGCTTATTACAACATTATTTGTTCGCGTGATTAAGTAGAAATACAAATTTTTCAAAAGCACTGTCGTAGAACTTGAGGCTGATCCTTACCGATATACATCAATATAAATTACATATTTTTGATTACATATTTCTTAAAAAATATCTATTTGCATTTTAAGAACAGTAAAAAAATAAACAGCTTCCTGTTATATTTCT